TACACTTATATTAGAGTTAATAATACTGTGTTCATGCTACAAAATGGCCAATAAACCTCCTTCCCAATTGCAGCCTGCCTTGAATTTTTCCTTTGCCTGTATTTTCCCCCAGCTTGGAAAAAGACATAGACTGGATTTAACCTCCAAGATTTTCTGCTCAATATTTTTTTCAGACATAGCTTTATTATGAATGTTCTCAGAGTAGTGTAAACAAATTACAGAGAATGGAATATCAAGTCTTGACTGCAGATATAGTTGTAGTGAACAGAGGCTATTGCTAATTTCAGATTAATTTTAATGATTTTTGGCAGCTGGATTCATAAATCTATCCCTTTAAATATTATTATGCAAATGTATACTAGTCAAGCTCTTTGCTGAGAAATAGATCTCATCCAGTGTGGAGTAACAGTCTTGCAAAATGGTCTAGTTGTTATAAACAAATCCTTGGGGATAGCAAGTAGTTAGGAATGCAGTCTGAAAAATATATATATTAATTTTCCCTTATCTTCTAGCATCAGGATGCCTATATATGGTTTTATATTGTGTGTGTGTGCTGAAATGTGGCAGCAGTTTAATTTATCAAGCTTTTAAAGTGACTTTAAAGCTTTAATTTTTTTTTCCTCTTGTCTCTTTTAAAACAGGTATTAAGCCTTGGGCCATTGCCACAGAGCTTCTCAGAAGTTAGTGTTATTGTAGCAATAGAGTATGCTTTATCTTGAGATACTTAAGTCTGTTTCTTTGCTTGAACAGAACAGGCTAGCTTTTCTCTGCTTCCTGAGGTGAAGGGTACCAGAGGCTGAAGTGTCCTGACAGCAGGAATCTGATCTGAGCAATTATTATTGAAGTGGGCCCAGTAACCATGGCAGAAAAAATATTTACAAAAATGCATTCTGTGGATAGACAAAGCTTGGTACTCAACTAACCATGCTATACTCAGAGGAGTGTTAAAACATAGGTGTGCCTGAGGGAAAAAAGGCATAAAATACTCTGATCCAAGCAAAGACCAGGTGTAGTGATAAACAAGTGACATAGTCAATCATTAGTTCTCTATCTACACTCTCGCTTATCTGGAAAATATACCTGTTTCCAGCAGTGCCGGAGAAAGACTTGAGAACTTTTGTGGATGGAAAGATGTTGGTTGTACCCTAGCAACATGCTTGAACTGGCTTGACCAGAGGTGGTATTCAGCAGGTTCTGACCAGTTCTGGAGAACCTGTAGCCGAAATTTTGAGTAGTTCAGAGAACCAGCAAATATCACCTCTGACTGGCCCTGCCCCCATCTATTCACTTCCTCCTGAGTCCCAGCTGGATCTTCTTTTGTTGCCCTGCACAGGAAAACAGATCTGGAAAACAGATTAGTGGGGTGTGGAGGAAATGGGATTTTGCAGTAGCCTTCCCCTGGAGTGGAATGGAGATTTTACAGTATCCTTCCCCTGCTGCACCCATCAAGCTACACCCACAGTACTGGTAGTAAAAAAATTTGAATCTCATCACTGGCTTGACCCACTTGAGAGTCAAGTGACAAATTTTCTGGAATTTTGTATGCCAGTTGAGAGAGAGCTAAGTCACACTGGCAGCTCTTTGGCAATGCTGCGGTGGCAATGAATCCAGCAGGGCTGACCGTTAAACATTTATAAGTGCATTACTAGTGAAACATCACTGAGGATAATAGACAATTAGTCTTAGTTTACAGCTTTCTCAGAGACAATTTTGCTATAGCAATAGCACTTATATATTGCTTCACAGGGCTTTTACAGCCCTCTCTAAGTGGTTTAAAGAGTCAGAATATTGCCACAAAATCTGGATCTTCATCTTACTGACCTCAGAAGGATAGAAAGCTGAGTCAACCTTAAGCCAGTGAAACCTGAACTGCCAAACTGCTGGCAGCTGGTGATCAGCAGAAGTAGCCTGCAGTACTGCAGTCTAACCACTGCACCACCACGGCTATTAATTCTACACTATATCTTGTATACAAATTTTGTTGTTGCCCCAATTACATTTTATGGAAATAGTACTTATTATTCTAATACTATTTTTTTAAATTAAAATGTATATGTATATATACAATATAAAGTTTCATGGCTGGGGAAGAAAGCAGATCCTTTTCTTTGTCTTTTTGCAATTTTTACATTTTTTTTTTTTTTGCTGTTCTATATAATGTGATCACATTTTTTCCATAGCCTTCCAAACAGTGGAAAAAACTCAGGGACAATGGGAGAGTATTTGGATGAAAAGTTTAAGATTTATATTAAATTATAATTTAAAAGAAAAAATTATAGATGATGTATCACTGGTATTTAACACCATCTGAATCCATCTGTAAAGTGAAATTGTTCTCAGAACTATTGTTTGAAATGATAAGTAATTGAATGGAAATACAAAAGAGTGTACTTACCACACACCAACATAAACAGAGAAGAAATATTTTTTATGTGGATTTATCAACTTCTTTTATCTTAAGAGTTGGGATGGCACAGTGGTTAGAATGCAGTATTGCAGTCTAAGTCACTGCTCACTGTGAGGAGTTTGATTCTGACTGGCTAAATTTTGCCTAAACCTTCCATGTTTCCAAGATCCATAAAATGAGGACCCAGATTGTTGGGGGCAATATGCTGACATTTACAAACTGTTCAGGGAATGTGGCAATGCAGGGGTGTCAAACTGTATTTCATCAGGGTTGTGTTTGATCTCAGAGGGCCAGGGGGTATGGCCAGCTCTATGTCACTCATTGAAGCTCCATTTTCAGCCGCGATGGCCTCCTGCAGACCTCTATCAGCAAAAACATAGCTTGGGAGGACTGCGTGTAGCCTCCCCGAGCTCTGTTTTTGCTGGCAGAGGCACCATTGACTGGTTCTTTTCTGTTTCCAGAGTGGGTCTGCAGGCTGCATCTAAGCACCCCATGGGTTGCATCCAGTCTGGAGTTTAACACCCTGCTGTAAAGCACTATGAAGCATATAAATCTAAATGCCAAGGTTATTGCTATTGCTATTCTTTCTACACAAAAGCCAGATCAACATTTTTTTCCCCCGAAGTAGTAGTAGTATTAGTTGAAGGTGTAGCCACCTGCTTTTTCTTTCACCAAATTGTTTCTGTTCCCTTCCACCAAGAAAGTGCCCATGTTATCTTTTGCTTGATAAGATTATACAACAAAGGTACCAGCTTAGTTCAGAGGATATAAAGTGGGAAAGGCAGGACAAAGGGAATTTTGTTCAAGTCCTCCTAAAACCTTGCACTTGTCCTGGTTCAATTTAATTTTGCAAATGTCTTTAATTTTTTTTGGAACAAAGAGAAGAGTAGTGCTAACTTAACACTACAGTTTCAACCAGCTATATTTGGAAGTTAATTCTTCAATTTTTTATCCCCTCACTGTCCAAAATAGGTTATTGAAACAGCTAAGCTTAATTTATTAATAGTGTCACATAAACTGAAAACATCTTAGGCCCTGAATATAGACAGTTCTGAATATAGAAATTAAATATAAATAAATGAATCTTGTTCTAAGGAGGAGGCATCGGGAATCTTTTTATCATGAATATGTTAAATATTTGTAACATCTAAGCAAAAACATGATGTGAATTTTTGATGGCTCAATTATGGGATAATGAAGTTCTAGCAATTTATCATTACATCGCCAACAACTGTTACTGGTTTCAATTGAAAAGGAATTATTGATTGTTTTTTAAAGAAAAATGGATAAAACAATAAGTAATCAGTAAATAAATTTACAAATAAATTTCTAAGCATCCAAAGCTAGTTGCTGAGCAACAGCAACAAAACAATTTGATCTCGCTATTGGTATTTTTGGAATAACAAATGAGTCATTATTCTGACTTCATGTAAATACTGTCAGATAAAATGTAGAAAAAAGTCATAATTGTGAAAGGAAAAATTAACTGGCTATGCAAAATTGGAGGCAATCAAATAGTCTGTCTCCCAGATGAAGATATAGCCTTTATGGGTAAAATTCCCTATTGATCGCATAACAAATTTTTCATTTTGCTACTGGCCTTTTATTTGACTATGAAAATGCCATTTCAAGGTAACCAATAACATAGAAGAAAAAGCAATACATTGTATAATTATCTTACATTTGAGCAGGCTTTCTGTGTTTCTGCTGGGAGGGTTCTTGGGTCTTCTTTCTTCCTGCTTCCTGGGATTCCATCATAGAGACCTGCTGGCATGATTTTTAAAGAGATTGAGATTGTTCAAAGTTTTGCAGCAATGCAGTTTTGCTTCTGTGGTGAACACAGAAACATAAATTTCTTTTTTCTGCTTTACTGTGTATTGGGGAGTAGGAGTGGTTGATTGGAATAAATGATGTGTTTTTACCCACAGATTGAGCGACAAGGCACTTAGCAACTTGCTGACAGTAAGTACAGCTCGGCTGTTAAGCCTTTATGCTCAGATATTGGTCAGAAAATATAAATAGTCACTGGCTGGTGATGCTTTGTCAACTTTTGAAAGCATACAAACATGTCTTTGTTCTCAAAGAATTCTAAGTTATGCAAACCTGCCAAGTTCAAAATTTCACTCATTTATTAAATTTATATGGGCCCCATTTCATTATCCAAAGTGATTATGAGTCATATAGTTGCATTTAACCGGGAATGGATCTTCTTGGAAGAACAAAAAGCTGATCATTTAAAAATGAACCTAATAACAGAATATAAGGTTTAGAAGATAAATGGCAATATCACATAAAAGCTTTTCATCAGTGAATAGAAACAAGTCATTTCAAAATGATATCAGAGCATGTCATAGAATCAAAAAATATATAAGAGGCAAAAGCATTTGGAAAGAAAAGGTCCAACCCTCTGCTCTTGTAATGCAATAATTCACTGCAACAGGCTCCCAAGTGATGTGTCCTATTTAAACACCTCTGACAGAAAGTCCACCAACTTCCAAGGCAGTCATATTATGGAACAATTGTTACCTTTCAGAGTTTATTCTTGACGTCCAACTAAAATCTTTCACTTTGTTCTTTAATCCAATTGTTTCTTGTTCCATATTTTAAAATAATTCCAAACAAGTCTGCCCAGTCTTACAATGCTTCAAATACATATAGATGGGTACCAAATCTCTCACAGTCTTTTTTTTTTTTACAGGTTAAATGTAGTCAGTGTTCCAACCTTTTTTCATACACTTTTCTTTCTAAGACTCTTATCATATTAGTTTTTTTTCTCCTCTAGACCAGAGGTGGTATTCATTAGGTTCTGATCAGTTCTGGAGACCAGTAGTAGAAATTTTGAGTAGTTTGGAGAACCAGCAAATACCACCTCTGACTGGAGATTTTACAGTATCCTTCCCCTGCTACGTCCACCAAGCCACACCCATAGATCCGGTAGTAAAAATTTTTGAATCCCAGCACTGCTCTAGACATGCACTATTTTTTCACTGTGTTTCTTAAAATGCAATTCCTGTACTTGGAAATAATATTCTAGATGATAGCTTCTCTTAATATTGACGCTGCATCTGATAATGCAGCCTAGATTATGTTTGCTTTTTTGCAGTTGATTGATATTTAACTTGATATTCAGATCTTTTTTAATGAGCTATTTCCCGATATGATATTTCTTATTTTCTGTCCACAACTTTTCCTAACCCCAAATGACTTTGCATTTACCACTGTTGAAGTTCGTTTTCTTGTTTTCTGTCACTGCTCTGGCTTGCCAGTCTTGATACTGAATCTTGATGCAGTGATTTTTTTTAAATATCTGTGTGACATACTTACCAATTGCTTCAATCATACAGTTGCAAATGCAATGTTGACTTCTTTTAACCCCCATCCCCAAGATACATCTTTCCAAACCATTGTTGCTAAGTAACGGTAAAGAAAATTATTGTCTAGCTCAGAAATTATAACTAATTTGTTTTAAATAAAATTCAAATGAATGGAATAAGTCAAAGGTTTATTGCCTTGCTTCATAGCATTGACAGGAACCATTGCTAACTTTCATTTGTGATTCTACGTGCACATTAAATTAGAGTGAGAACAACCATCAAAATATTTTATTCCCAATAGTAGCATGGGCTGTTATAGTTGGCCCAATATTTTCAAGCAAACTGAAGACTCTGAACTGAGATCTTTGGATAATCATAAAAAAGTCAAAAGCACCAAAATACAACACATGTGAAGTGAGAATTAGTACATCTGTGTAGTATTGGTTCTATGTTTGTTGACTGAAAAGATAACTCCGGATTTTAAATATTCAAATGCCAACAGAAATCAGAAATGTTATTTGTTCATCATTCCAAGCTTTTTATATTCTCATTAAAATATAACCTATGAATCAATACTGAGTCATTTGCTACAGAACTGTAATGCGTTTAGTTATTAGCAGTCTTTACGCACTCTTGCTGTCAAGACACACAAGAAATCCAGTTTAATTGATTCTGATTTTCATCTTTGTTAAAAACTAGTTAAATAAACCGGCTACTAAATTTATAACCATCAATTCTGAACACATTTTTCTTTCACCAAAAATAAGAAATAAGAAGTTCAAGCATAATAGACAATATGTTAAAGAAATAGTATTATCCACAAAGCAGAGCTATTATTTTAATAATTACATCTCCAACTATAGTAATTGTAGTAAATTCAGTTTGAATTACAGTTAACTTATGTAATAAGATTGTATTGTTAAGAAAACCACTTTTTCAGTCCATATGTATTTGAGAGACTAAAATGTAAATTATTATAAGAAACCTCAGGCAAATTGTACATGTCTAAGCAAGTGTAACTTAGATAATTGGGGGGGAAAAGAATTATTCTTTGAGTACATATTGCAAATTTCAGTGAACACATTCCTACCAGATCTGTAGAGCTTCAGAGGGAAATAAACTTTGATATCCCAGAAGGGAGAGAGAGAAAGAACCCCTTTTCTCATACAATTCAATTTTTATACATACTGTATAGGTTAACCAATTGCAGAAAAATATTTTCCCACCAATCCCATTTTGCCCAATTTATTTTATCATTTTTCACATTTTGACCTTTTCTGTAATTATAATTAGCATCATACCGTTCAGAGATTTAAGATTAAATAAATGTTTCCCCCTTCTATTAATGTTTTCCCAAGGTAGCATTCTATGAAAGCTGATAAAGAATAAAGAGATCATGTCTTAATATGCTTTGTTTTACCACAGACCATTTGTCAGCTGGGAATTGTCAAATAATTACTAAAACTTTGGGGAGTTCTGGTGGAATGGAGAATCAATTATTTCAATAAAACAGTACTGCTCATTCAATAGTTGGAACAATTGTTACTTTGGAGTCTTAAAGAATTTTGATAACACATCACTTTAGGAATCAATGCTTTGGCCTCCTTGAATAAGTCTAAGGTGCTTATTCATGGAGACCAGGCATTCCTTCATATCCTGCCAAATAGGCATTGCTACCACCATTAATTAATTCATTTGTCAAATTTGTAAGGCAAAGCCACCAATTCTATCTGGGTTTCATGAAATAAAAACAATAAAAACAATTAATAAAAAACATAGCAAATATATAGCCCCAAAGAACAATAAAAATAACCTGAAAGGGTTCCTCTACATACTTTAATCAGGTAGCGCTAGATATTCACAGCTCATTTAAATCCGGGCTAAAGGGCATTTGAACCCTTAGAGGAATGCTGTTCCAAGGGACAGGTGCTATGACAGAGGAGGTCTACTTGCTGATTTTCATTAGGTGGAGTTGGATAGAATCCAAAGTATGCTAATTTTGTTTGATTGTATAAAACAGATAGATACTCAGGAGTCTGAATAAAATCCTCATTTATTAGGGGTTTTACGGGTAACAATGCCCCTAGAAGCTTACTGACAATATTACACTCATAGCCATATGTATTGTGTGGGTATAATAGGCCATGCTCATAACTACCCATGTCACTGCATTCTGGATTATTTGCAGTCTCTGAGCAGTCTTCAAGGCAGCCCTATGTAGAGCATAGTGCAGTATGTGTCCCATGCAACCGGCATACAAAGTATTTGCACAAATGTCATCCTTACTATAGCTGTCACCTATTCCTAGAAAGGGGCTGTGAAATCAAGGTCATCCCAAATTTCAATCCTTTGGTGTCTGTCTTTCTACTCTCCCTCACTTCCATAGCCTACATCCACCTTGTTGGTGTTGGTACACAAATATGGTTGATGGAATTGATAGTCACTGAAAGGTTGTCCCCATGAGGCTATGCCAGAGCTCATCAATAAATACAATCAATCCCTCCAAAGGGAAGGCTGAAGGCTGGACAAATGTTTTCCATAAAGATTGGGTTCAGTGAGGGCCTTGATATTATTACAGGAAACAGCCATGCATTTTGAAATACAGTGATACAAAAAGGAGGAGAATTGTTTTAACATCACATTCTAAGGTCTGTGATGGAGATTTGGAATCAAGACAATTACCATCTTTTTTTTTTTACCCAGTATTCCATACTCATTCACTTATCCTTCAGTTCAAGTATTGCTTGCTGTTGTGGGTATCACATTTTAAGGAGGTTTTGGCAAACCCAAAAAACTGCAGCAGATACCAAAGAAGAGCAATCAGGGAATCAGGAACTAAGAACTATGAAAAGTTATTACTGATTGAGCTAGGTATGTTTAGCTTTTTTTAAAAAAAGAGGCTAAAGCTGGAGTGGTGAATATTACAACATTCTCAGATATCTGAAAGGATATCATATCAAACCAGATTTTAATCATTACAGAGTGCAGGGTGCTCTAGATTCATGAATGAATGGGTAATAAATTAATGTTATATTAAAATATAAATCAAAATTCTATTTTTTTAAGAAAAATGTGCTGTAAGAATTTCTCTAAAGTTAAGAGTATAACTCAGGTGGTATGATCCCTATTACTGAATGTATTCGAGCAGAAAGTAGACAAACCATCTGTCAGGGATGTTTTAATTTATATTTTAGCACTCAATAGGACCCCCATTGTTTAATTAAAAAAAAATATAAATTCACGATTAAATGATTGTGGCTTTCAGTTACGTAAATATTAATTGATACTATTCTATATTCTAGAGATACATACAGAGAAGGGTTAAAGCTTATCTATACACCTCAGTTCTGGGACTAGAGTAATTTCTTTCTCTCCAACTTTTCCAGTAGATTTAGACATTGAGATTTACTCTGTCTGACAATGGACTGCTATTGAAAGATTTGCTTTCTGCCATTCTTTCAACTTAGATTTCTGACATTTTGAAAGATGGCTGCACACGAGCAGTTTACTATTGGAATAGGATTGCACATAAATTAAACAAGTGGAAAAACAAAAATAAAACAAAATAAATAGAATGCTACATGGGAACAGATGAATGTAGCTCTCTCAGTCCCTCTATTACTGGTTCTATCCATACTTGGCTATAATGAATAATTTTAAAAGTAACTCAAAAATATTAGTGGAGATAAATAGTATAAGATAGTATAAGACAATACTTTTGAGGGTCACAATATGAAAACATATTTCAGTTGCTTTTCATATTTTAAACTATATCAGTTTAACATGTTTGTTTTAACATTATGCTGAAAAATTGTTTTAGATCAGTTTCTTGGATCTATTCATATCCTCAAAAGGTTCCTCAATTTTAAAATCAGTTTTAGGAGTCCTCCAGCAATGTCCATCCAGCTGATAAATCTTGGAGAGGAATTTTAAACAACTTCTGGGTGTGTATGTGGAATTTGTTCTTTGTTTCAAGATGTGGAATAGATATATGTTTTTGGATCTTTCCTGTTTCTGCTTGCATTTAGCTGGTTATTGTTTTTAACATGCTTTACTTGTCACCTTTAAATATGTTTCCCCTGAATGCCTAGATAAATATCCACTCACCTGCCCTGTTCATCAATCTGATGAGCATTAGTTAGTGATTGCTTCAGATAAGGACTTTTTCATTGGGCTATCAATTTTGGACTTTAATAAACCAACTGGCACAAATAGGTGATTATTTTCTGTGGCATATTGTTGGTGTCATCTTGTGATTTCTCCAGTTTTGAATTGTAGGTCTATGACTTTGTCATTCCCTATACTGATACATTTTATTCTTTTCATATCCTGTGCAAACTTGATATTTAGTTAATTCAGTTAATTCAAACTGCTTTTAATTGCTAAAGCAAAAGAACTGAAAAAGTAAAAGTTATTTGCATTATTGCTTCTATATTTTTATTCAGCTTTACTCTGCATTGTCTGGCATCTTAACCATTAACTCTTTTTTATGGCAGTTTTTATGCAGTTTTAAGTTTTCACAGACTGTAACCAATTCATCAGATATTTTCTTTGATGTGACAGGCCAACAAAACTACCCATCAGAAATCTGTCAATATTGTTTCTATTCATAACTGTTACTATGTCAATTTGATTCAGAATATTAATTTATATTTTATATTGGTTTAGATTTTTGATAATAGATTGTAAGTCACGTTTTGAATTATTTTCTTGAAAGCAGCCTATGAACCAAGAAGATGAAAATATATATATAAATAAATTCTACACATTGTCCAAATGCAATTCTAAAAGAGGGTAAATACTAGCAGGTCAGAAAGTAGATCTCCAAATTATAAACTGGAATAATAATTCATTTATGCAAAGATACAGAACAATTTTTTCTGCTGATGTTTGTAACTTATAGAAATTGTTCAAAAAGAAACAATTGTTCAATTGCTTCCATATTGTAAGGTATGAATTGGATATTGCAAGTAATAAGGACATCTACATTTCTAAACTAGAGCAACTGTCTGAAAATGTACTAAAACTCAGCTCAGGCCATAGCAAAATTTGAATTTGTTACATGTAAACAAGCTAACCTTTTGAACACTCCATCAATTAGGAGCTGGGGACACAATCTTCCATGTACTGTTGCTATGCAACCATCCGTACAAGCTCGACTGAAATGAAGGAATATTTTGCAGTATATTGCTTGGTTGGTTTTACCCAGCTGCAAACTGCCAGTTCCAATTAAACTTTTACTAACTATAATTTTGTTACTACACAGTTCACTATGGAAACATTGTTAAGATAGCAGTGGGACTTAGGTCTCTGTAATGCTATGAGGACTTTCTCTGTATCTTTACTCACTTGTAGAATAAAATGCAGGATGATCAGTGCTTCAAAGAAAAACAGTTTGAGCTATCAAATAATACATTAAGAACATTCTTCTCATTTTGAGAATAATCTATGCACGGAAGCAATTTCATTTCTCCAGAACTTTTCTTATTTGAATGTACCCCCAAGGATTTCTTTTTAAATAAAATCTCATCAGATTTTTGTTTTCTGATAGTATTCTAAAAAAAGCAATGTGAAGAATGCTTCTTGATTATACAGTATATGATTCTTTTTATTTATTTGCTTAATAAATGGATTTGCAAATAGAACGTCTTAAGATGTGCAAACAACAGTATGGATTTCTTGCAAGTAGTCAACCTGTTCTAAAGATTTTTACTCTGTACAAAATACAGATATTTTCATACAAATGGAAATATTTCAAAGATGAAAAGTGAATCTTAAGACAATGATTATCAATAGTAATTATTAATTAGGTAGGCCTGGACTAAAGATTGTAGTATAAATTCTTTTAATTCAGTGTTGTAGGCAGCAGTCTGTCGGAAACTTTATTCCTCTTATTTTCTCTTTGTATTTTCCATTCTTTCTACTCACAGACACATATACCACAACAAATATTATTAAGCTGTAATCAGGCATAGTTAGTATTTCCTAGATTGTTCTGTTTGGTGGTTTCTGTTCCCTCTACAGGTAGTCCTTGACTTACAACAGTTTGCTTAGTGATCGTTCAAAGTTACAAAGACACTGAAAAAGCGGCATCCCCATGGATATGTAATCAACATTCAAATGCTTGGCAACTGACTTATATTTACATTTGTCCTGTTCCGGGGTAATGTGATTCCCTTTTGCAACCATCTGACAAGCAAAGTCAATGGGGAAATCAGATTCACTTAACAACCATGCTACTAACTTTACAGCTGTGTTTGATCCATTTAACAACTGTGATAAGAAAGGTCATAAAATGGAGCAACATTAACTTAACAAATGTCTCACTAAAACAGAATTTTTGGGCTCAATTGTGGTTATAAGTGGAGGACTACCTATGTATACACTTTTTATTCTTAATATCTCTTATTTCTCACTTAGATTTAGACAGAAAACCACCATAAATGCATACCTGGTTTGACAATAGTAACTGTGAAAAGGATTTAAGTATTTAGTTGGACCATCACGAAATTGTGCAGAAAAGACCAACAAAGATGATGAATGGTTTGGCATGACAAATGGTTGAGGAAACGAGCCTATTGAAGAGAAAGATTAGGGGGACAAGATTGCCGTCTTCTAGTATTTGAGAAGCTGTCACAGAGAAGAGGGGATTGACTTATTCGCCAGGGCACCAGAAGGCAAGCTTCTAGGATGGAAGCTTGTGAGAGAAAAATATAAGGTTAGGAGAAATTTTCTGACAGTGAAAGCAATCAATCAGTGGAATAGCTTGCCTCCTGGAGTTGTTGGTGCTCATCACTGGAGATTTTCAAAAATAGACTGGACAACCATTTGGCTGGGATGGTAGAAAACTGCTGCCTTGACCAAAGGGGAGGGAGAATTGGACTATAAGACCTCTGAGGTGGCTTCCAGCCCTATGATAGAAATAGAAGTAGGAGGAGGTGAAGAAGGAAGAAGAGGAAGAGCAGGATGAGATAGATAGGTAAGTAGGTAGATAGATAGAAAAGAGAGAGAGAGAGAGAGACTAATTTACATCAGCGCACCTCATTATATCCATAAAATTGGGTTTCACTATAACAACATGGTGCTTCATATATTGCTTTCTATTCTTTAAAGTTCTCACCCTTTTCCTTCTGAGAATTTACTCAGATATGACTTTCTTGTTCTTCTTTATCATTCACTTTTCTTGGATAGATTTGTTTTTCATTTCCATCCTTTCTGTCTAAACCACTTCAAAACATTAATTTTATATTGGTCCCTTACTTTAGTATTCAATCTATATTCATCCAGTACTCGTGTTTTCTTGACCCTCTTTTTAATCACAAATTCTTTGAAAGTATCCTATTCAAGTTGTTTTTATAATTTTCCAACATTCCCTATCCTCCTTGCCCTATAACCAAGTGAGCAAAAAACACACTCTTATAGCACAGCCATTTTTGCTGCTTTTGGCAACTCTTTTTCTGTGCAACATATCGCATTGTACTAATACTACTTTTTAATATCTTAAAATTTAATATTTTAAAATTTCTAAAGATATAAAATTCATTAGCTACTATGATTTTTCACCATTTAGGTGTAAGTGTCTGCCATTCATTCCACAGCTATCCAAGTCATTTGTATATTTTCATATCCATACTCCATAAAAAATTCTAACAACTAGTGCAAGTTATAATCAGCTAACAACATGGCATCATCATGTATATAAAAGTGTAGATATACATTAGTATCACTAGCCAGCAAATCTCTGTTGTAGTGCCACACACTCATAAGTATATTAAATCTTTAATATATTATGCATTCTTGTCTTGCTCCATGCTAATGTTGAACTATTTATGAAACATTTCCTTTATTCTCATGCAAGGCTCATGTCCTTGGTATACCACTCTATCACATTCAGCAACTATTCTGCAACTCTATATTTAAGAAAGCACTTCATAATTAAAACTATTTCACTTTATCACTCTAAATTAAAAACATACATCCTATACACTCCTAAATCTTTTGTTATCATGACCTTTAACTTGGCAAAAGAGTGCATCATAATACAACAATATTTGAACCAAGGCATCTCAAATGGGCTAACTTCCAAAATGCCTCCAAAATCCAGGACCCATACTCCCAAAGGAATGAAATTTGGGGAAGTTGCAGCTGTTTCAGGCTGCTGCGATGGTCAGGCTGTGGCTGTGACCATTTGATACTTATTTTGAACCAGGGGTGATATTCAGTAGGTTCTGACCAGTTCTGGAGAACTAGTAGCAGAAATGTTGAGTAGTTCGGAGAATTGGCAAACACCACCTCTGACTGGAGATTTTACAATATCCTTCCCCTGCCACGTCCACAGAACCAGTAG